CTCCATTTGTAGACAGTCTGTCTTACCGTGGACACATGAACATCAAGGCTTTTGGAGATACTTTTGTAACCCTTTCCAGCGTCATGCAAGTCAACAATGCTTGATCGTAGGTCTTCTGAGAGCTCTTTTCTGCGAGGCATGGTTCACATCAGAAACCAGTAAACCCAAAACAGGTGTGTGTTTTTTAAGGGCAGGACAGCTGTCAGCAACACATCCAATATCATCACACTGATTGGAGTCAAGGTTGGCTCACTCCTGGCTCCAATTAGCTCTGGGAGAAGTCATTAAGCTAGGGCCTCACATACTTTTTCCTCCCTTCACTGTGAATGTTTACATTTTATGTGCAATTAAACCATGGCAACATCTAATGTTTGAGTAGTATTATGTTCAGCAGACTGTGTTCTTCTATTGTTGTGACTTAGATGACGTTCAGAGCACATTTTATGCCCAATTCATGCAAAACTCCACGTAATCCCAAGGGGTTCACATACTTTTTCTTGCAACTGTATACAAATACATACACAAATTTCAGGTATGGATATTTATTACATAGTTACATTGGTCCCCCCCCAGGCTATAATATCCATGTAACCATGCTTGGTCAATGCCCTTGGAAGCTGGAAAAAAATGAAAAACAACACTGCTACTTCAGTGATCTCCACCTGCTTCCAGGTCCGGTGCCAACTGGCTGCAATTCTGCTTACTGAACACAGGAGACCAGCCGCTCAGCACATGCACCATTCAGAGAGTGCTTTACATCTTGTGAATGAATGGAAAGCATTCTCTGATTAGATACGGCTGAGAGGCGAGGCCATGCTGCACATGGGAATAAGAGAATGGCTGAACATCTAAAGATGCAATCCCTAGTTATCCCTACCTTTCACCATCTTCTGGGAATGATATTTGTGGGGTGCCCTATAGTGGTGGGAATGGACTCTTTATTGGAAAGGCTATGAGAGTGTTTGTACTGTATGTCCATCTTCACTAAGGCTGTCTTGTCACATATGTATAATTTCATCCGGAAGGTTGGGTAAATCTCATTATTTTACCATGCCAGCACTGTAATTCCATTTGAGGACCTAGAGCTATTTTCTGAAGAGTTATTGTTCTGCATGTTGATGGCCATAGACAGGGCCAGATTATCATAGGAGCTATTGAAGCTCCAGCTCCAGGCCCATACCTTAAAATAAGCCCAGCCCTGTGGCATAAATGAGTAGCTAATGCTGCCCAGCCCTGTTCTGTGTGCAGTGTACCCATGATTGATATGTAACTAGTGGGTGGCATTGATATGTAAATCGGGCGGCCTTGATATGTAAATTGTGGGCACATTCATAAGTATATCAAACTCTCCTGACCCAGTCCACCATCACCTCTGCTGAATCATACCTATATGCGGGATGTGAACAAGCCCTGTCTGCCACTGTCACTGAGCCTGCCATCAGCCTGTACTGCAAAGGTGAGCAGGTGGATTGGGGGAAGAGGTAGCAGAGAAGAGATTACAGTTTGGAGTTTAAACATGAGCAAAGAGGGAGTGTGCAGGGGGGAGGGGATGTTGTGCAAAGATTAACAGAGGCATGTGATGTGCACTCTTCTTATATGCATACTACTGACCACACTTCTCTCCTGTACATACTATCCACCGCCATACACTCCACACTCTTCTCCTGTACATATTACCCACTGCTGTACACTTCGCACTCCTCCTCTGTACATACTACCCATCACCATATACTCCGCACTCCTCTCTTGTACATTCTACTCACCTGCATACACTCTGAACTCCTCTCCTGTACATACTACTTGCCTTCATACATTTCACACCTCCCCTGCACATTATACCAACCACCACACCCTGCACTCCTCTCCTTATATACCACCACTTCCACACTCTGCACTCCTCTCCTGTATATACCACCCACCTCCATACACTCTGCACTCCTCTCCTGTATATACCACCCACCTCCATACACTCCGCACTCCTCTCCTGTACATACTACTTGCCTCTATACATTCCTCACTCCTCCCCTCCCCTGCACATTATACCCACCATCACACACTCCGCACTCTTCTCTTGTACATTCTACTCACCTACATACACTCCACACTCCTCTGCTGTACATACTACTTGCCTTCATACACTCCTCATTCCTCTCCTGTACATACTGCTTGCCTTCATACACTCCTCACTCCTCCCCTGCACATTATACCCACCTCCATACACTATGCACTCCTCTACTGTACATACTACCCACCACCATACACTCCGCACTCTTCTCCTGTACATACTACTTGCCTTCATACACTCCGCACTCCTCCCCTGCACATTTACCCACCTCCATACCCACCTACTGTACATACACCTCTACACTCCGCACTCCTCTCTTGTACATTCTACTCACCTTCATACACTCCGCACTCCTCTCTTGTACGTTCTACCTACATCCATACACTCCGCACTCCTCTCCTGTATATACTCGCCTTCATACACTCCTCACTCCTCCTCTGCACATTATACCCACCTCCATACACTCTGCACTCCACTCCTGTACATACTACCCACCTCCATACACTCCACACTCCTCTCCTGTACATACTACTTGCCTCCATATGCTCCTCACTGCTTCCCTCCCCTGCACATTATACCCAACCCCATACACTCTGCACGCCTCTCCTGTACATACTACCCACCGTCATATACTCTACACTCCTCTCCTGTACATACTACTTGCCTCCATATGCTCCTCACTGCTCCCCTCCCCTGCACATTATACCCACCCCCATACACTCTGCACTCCTCTCCTGTACATACTATCCACCGTCATATACTCCACACTCCTCTCTTGTACATTCTATTCACATCCATACACTCCGCACTCCTTTCCTGTATATACTCGCCTTCATACGCTCCTCACTCCTCCTCTGCACGTTATACCCACCTCCATACACTCTGCACTCCTCTCCTGTATATACCACCCACCTCCATACACTCCGCACTCCTCTCCTGTACATACTACTTGCCTCTATACATTCCTCACTCCTCCCATCCCCTGCACATTATACCCACCATCACACACTCCGCACTCTTCTCTTGTACATTCTACTCACCTACATACACTCCACACTCCTCTGCTGTACATACTACTCACCTTCATACACTCTGCACTCCTCTCTTGTATATTCTACCCACCACCATACACTCTGCACTCCTCTCTTGTACATACAACCCACTGCCATACACTCTGTACCACTCTCCCTGCACATACTATCCATCTCCACACACTCTGCACTGAATGTCCCACACGCAAAGTACATACTACAATGGCTTGTTGAATGCACAGCAAAAAAGAAGTCTCTGGAACTTTTTGTGAAATGTTGGCAACTATGTTCTATGTGACTCACAGTACATACACTATATTGTACATTACACACTCCTGCACTATATATTCTTACCTCATTGTGGACCCACCCACAGTCTGTTATGGCAGGCTAAGTGCGCCACATTACTACTCTGCATAAGCTACCCAAAGGCACCCTCTCTCTCACCCCTCTCTCATCCCACCCCCCTTACCCCCTCTATTTAATTTCATTTGTTTTAATATTTTCACTTTATTTATTTTCATAAAAAGGCCTGTCAAAATCCTCAGCACCAGGCTGATGATGCTCCTAATCCGGCCCTGGCAATAGAGTTCCTGTTTACTCAAAATCAATTTTTGCTTAACGCGCTTTGTTTACCTGTGGTGATGCGGAGCTTCTATGGGGGTCGAATTTTCTCTCTCGCTTGTGAACCTTGTAAACATCATGTTATCCATTGAGTCTGCTTCATACAAAAATAGAGAACCCAGGTTACTCCTCTATGAAACCACATGCAGCATATCAGGAAATTGTTCTTCTGCCCTTTTATACCTAATCTTTGCCTGGATTTTGGTATGTCCAAGCCGTGAGTGAGAAATAACTTGTTAAAACTAGAAAAGCTACAATTTCTGGGGAAATTGTGTGAAGTGTTCTTGCCTCCACCAGTAGTCTACAACTGGAGTGGGTGGAGTAACTGGGTGGAGTGTCACACACCTGGGTTCCTATGGCAACTCACTCTACAGCAAGGGCAGAGAAAAGCGGTTAAAAACAAACTGCTCCAACTTGCTTACTTCACTGGTGGTTGCCATCTTCAAACGGATGTAGTTTAAAAATTATAAATCCTACACCGAAGAGCTTTATATTGTGAGAATCACAAGACCCAGACCTACATTTTGCATAGTATGTCTCTGAAATATTAAAAATGAAGGCACAGTCGCAGTTTAGAAATTGCCCTTCACATTTGAGGTGGCTACAGTGGAGTTTCAATTAATGTCAATGGGCGGCGTGAGTTGCAAACAAATGGTTATATTGTGAAAACTATCAGGACTATGGCTTAGCCGTGGACATTTTTAGTGGCAGCAGGGATAGCTGAACGTTTTGATATACAATTGTGTAGATGGGATTGAAAATGAGGGAGTTATGGCAGTTTAGAAATCATGTCCTGATTTTTCAGCTCCCACTCTAGCTTTTGTCAGCTCCCACTCTAGCTTTGAACATTCCGCCATTCATTCGTATGGGACCAATTTCACCACAAAACGCCGTTATTTCGTGAACCGTTAACGTTCCACAAAGTAATAGCACACCAATCGGGAACAATCCGCACGTTTCGGTATATTAGTGTAAAAACTGTGGGAGGAGTTAGGGTGGTAAAATTAGGCTATAATAATAAGAATATATATGTGAGATAACAGTAAGTGGTCTTGCCATGCAAGAACACTTAAAAAACCTTTGTGAAATAAATTATATTTTATTTAGTCTGGCTTTCCACAAAATGTGGACAAAATGTGGACAAAATACAACTATATATATATATATATATATATATATATATATATATATATTGCCAAAAGTATTGGGACACCCCTCAAAATCATTGGATTCAGGTGTTCCAATCACCTCCATGGCCACAGGTGTATAAAATCAAGCACCTAAGCATGCAGACTGCTTCTAAAAACATTTGTGAAAAAATGGGTCGCTCCCAGGAGCTCAATGAATTCAAGTGTGGTACAGTGATAGGTTGTCACCTGTGCGAAAAGTCCATCCCTGGAATTTACTTGCTACTAAATATTCCATTGTCAACTGTTAGTGGTATTATAACAAAGTGGAAGCAACTGGGAACAACAGGAGACAAGCGCAACTTAGCCACAAAGTGGTGGGCACGTAATATGACAGAACGGGATCAGCGCATAGTGAGGTGCACAGTGCACAGAAGTGACCAACTTTCTGCAGAGTCGGTAGCTAAAGACCTCCAAACTTTGTGTGGCCTTAAGATTAGCACAACAGTGCGTAGAGAGATTCATAGAATGGGTTTCCATAGCAAAGCAGCTGCAACCAGGCCTTATATCACCAAGTGCAATGCAAAGCGTCGGATGGAGTGGCGTAAAGCACGCCACCCCTGGACTCTAGAGCAGTGGATACGTGTTCTCTAGAGTGACAAATCACACTTCTCTGTCTGGTGGATGCCAGGAGAATAGTACTTGCCTGACAGCATTGTGCTAAGTATAAAGTTTTGTGGAGGGGGATTATGGTGTGGGGTTGTTTTTCAGGGGTTGGGCTTGGCCTCTTAGTTCCAGAGGAGGGAACTCTTAAGGTGTTAGTATATTAAGACATTTTGAACAATTTCATGCTCCCAACTTTGTGGGAAGAGTTTGGGGATGGCCCTTTCCTGTTCCAACATGACTACGCACCGGTGCACAAAGCAAGGTTCATAAAGACATAAAGACAGTTTGGGGTGGAGGAACTTAACTGGCCTTTGGGATGAATTAGAGCGGAGACTGGGAGCCAGGCCTTCTCTTCCGACATCAGTGCCTGACCTCACAAATGCACTTCTAGAAGAATGGTCAAACATTCCCACAAAAGCACTCCTAAACCTTGTGGACAGCCTTCCCAGAAGAGTTGAAGCTATTATAGCTGCAAAGAGTGGGCCAACCCAATATTGAACCCTACAGACTAAGATTGGGATGCCTATATATATATATATTATATATATATATATATATATATACAGTTGCAAGAAAAAGTATGTGAACCCCTTGGGATTACGTGGAGTTTTGCATGAATTGGGCATAAAATGTGCTCTGAACATCATCTAAGTCACAACAATAGAAGAACACAGTCTGCTGAACATAATACTACACAAACATTAGATGTTGCCATGGTTTAATTGCACATAACATGTAAACATTCACAGTGCATGGAGGAAAAAGTATGTGAGGCCCTAGCTTAATGACTTCTCCCAGAGCTAATTGGAGCCAGGAGTGAGCCAACCTTGACTCCAATCAGTGTGATGATATTGGATGTGTTGCTGACAGCTGTCCTGCCCTTAAAAAAAACACACCTGTTTTGGATTTACTGGTTTCAAGAAGCACTGTCTGATGTGAACCATGCCTCGCAGAAAAGAGCTCTCAGAAGACCTACGATCAAGAATTGTTGACTTGCATGAAGCTGGAAAGGGTTACAAAAGTATCTCCAAAAGCCTTGATGTTCATGTGTCCACGGTAAGACAGACTGTCTACAAATGGAGAAAGTTTAGAACTGTTGCTACTCTCCCTAGGCGTGGTCATCCTGTAAAAATGACTGCAAGAGCACAGCGCAGAATGCTGTATGAGGTAAAGAAGAATCCCAGAGTGTCAGCTAAAGGCCTACAGAAATCTCTGGCACATGCTAACATTTTTGTTGACACATCTACAATAAGGAAAACATTAAACAAGAATGGAGTACATGGGAGGACACCACGGAGGAAGCCATTGCTGTCCAAAAAGAATATTGCAGCACATTTGAAGTTTGCAAAAGAGCACCTGGATGTTCCACAGCACTACTGGCAAAATATACTGTGGACAGATGAAAGCAAGATTGAGTTGTTTGGGAAGAACACACAACACTATGTGTGGAGAAAAAAAGGCACAGCACACCAACATCAAAACCTCATCCCCACTGTAAAACATGGTGGAGGGAGCATCATGGTTTGGGGCTGCTTTACTGCCTCAGGGCCTGGACGGATTGTTGTCATTGATGGGAAAATGAATTCCAGAGTTTATCAAGACATTTTGCAGGAAAACGTACTACCATCTGTCCGCCAACTGAAGATCCGCAGAGGATGGGTGATGCAACAGGACAATGACCCAAAGCATACAAGTAATTCAACAAAACAATGGCTGCAACAGCACAGAATACGCCTTCTGGAGTGGCCCAGTCAGAGTCCTGACCTCAACCCGATTGAAATGCTGTGGCATGACCTTAAGAGAGCGATTCACACCAGACATCCCAAGAATATTGCTACACTGAAACAGTTTTGTGAAGAGGAGTGGTCCAAAATTACTCCAGATCGTTGTGCAGGTCTGATCTGCAACTACAGGAAACGTTTGGTTGAGGTTATTGCTGCCAAAGGAGGGTCAACCAGTTATTAAGTCCAAAGGTTCACATAGTTTTTCCTCCCTGCACTGTGAATGTTTACATGTTATGTGCAATTAAACCATGACAACATCTAATGTTTGTGTAGTATTATGTTCAGCAGACTGTGTTCTTCTATTGTTGTGACTTAGATGACATTCAGAGCACATTTTATGCCCAATTCATGCAAAACTCCACGTAATCCCAAGGGGTTCACATACTTTTTCTTGCAACTGTATATATATACAGTCAGGTCCATAAATATTGGGACATTGACACAATTCTAACATTTTTGGCTCTATACACCACCACAATGGATTTGACATGAAATGAACAAGATGTGCTTTAACTGCAGACTGTCAGCTTTAATTTGAGGGTATTTTACATCCAAATTAGGTGAACGGTGTAGGAATTACAACAGTTTGCATATGTGCCTCCCACTTGTTAAGGGACCAAAAGTAATGGGACAATTGGCTTCTCAGCTGTTCCATGGCCAGGTGTGTGTTATTCCCTCATTATCCCAATTACAATGAGCAGATAAAAGGTCCAGAGTTCATTTCAAGTGTGTTATTTGCATTTGAAATCTGTTGCTGTCAACTCTCAAGATGAGATCCAAAGAGCTGTCACTATCAGTGAAGCAAGCCATCATTAGGCTGAAAAAAAACAAAACAAACCCATCAGAGAGATAGAAAAAATATTAGGCGTGGCCAAAACAACTGTTTGGAACATTCTTAAAAAGAAGGAACGCACCGGTGAGCTCAGCAACACCAAAAGACCTGGAAGACCACGGAAAACAACTGTGGTGGATGACCAAAGAATTCTTTCCCTGATGAAGAAAACACCCTTCACAACAGTTGGCCAGCTCAAGAACACTCTCCAGGAGGTAGGTGTATGTGTGTCATAGTCAACAATCAAGAGAAGACTTCACCAGAGTGAATACAGAGGGTTCACCACAAGATGTAAACCATTGGTGAGCCTCAAAAACAGGAAGGCTAGATTAGAGTTTGCCAAACGACATCTAAAAAAGCCTTCACAGTTCTGGAACAACATCCTATGGACAGATGAGACCGAGATCAACTTGTACCAGAGTGATGGGAAGAGAAGAGTATGGAGAAGGAAAGGAACTGCTCATGATCCTAAGCATACCACCTCATCAGTGAAGCATGGTGGTGGTAGTGTCATGGCGTGGGCATGTATGGCTGCCAAAGGAACTGGTTCTCTTGTATTTATTGATGATGTGACTGCTAACAAAAGCAGCCGGATGAATTGTGAAGTGTTTCGGGAATATTATCTGCTCATATTCAGCCAAATGCTTCACAACTCATTGGACGCCGCTTCACAGTGCAGATGGACAATGACCCAAAGCATACTGCAAAAGCAACCAAAGAGTTTTTTAAGGGAAAGAAGTGGAATGTTCTGCAATGGCCAAGTCAATCACCTGACCTGAATCCGATTGAGCATGCATTTCACTTGCTGAAGACAAAACTGAAGGGAAAATGCCCCAAGAACAAGCAGGAACTGAAGACAGTTGCAGTAGAGGCCTGGCAGAGCATCACCAGGGATGAAACCCAGCGTCTGGTGATGTCTATGCATTCCAGACTTCAGGCTGTAATTGTCTGCAAAGGATTTGAAACCAAGTAATAAAAAGCGAAAGTTTGATTTATGATTATTATTCTGTCCCATTACTTTTGGTCCTTTAACAAGTATGAGGCACATATGCAAACTGTTGTAATTCCTACACCGTTCACCTGATTTGGATGTAAATACCATCAAATTAAAGCTGACAGTCTGCAGTTAAAGCCATCTTGTTCATTTCATTTCAAATCCATTGTGGTGGTGTATAGAGTCAAAAATTTTAGAATTGTGTCCATGTCCCAATATTTATGGACCTGACTGTATATATATATATATATATATATATACACACACACACACATATATACACACATATTGTCATGTCATACTGTCATATTGACTGTCATATGCCTTTAAATGTTTTCAGTGTTTTGTCTCTGCTCCTCCCTTTCCTTTAGTTTAGCTAATGTTGCATAGATAGCCCTCTCCCCTTCCCAGAGATGCATTGCAACAGCTCCTCAAAGCATGAAGCAAGACACAGTATGTTCTTTTGACCTATGGAATTTCATTGTTGTAAAATTCTCTCAGTTTATGGAATAAACTTCACAAGATCTACAAGATGACATTCTCATTGAGTCACTGACTGTGGTATCCAACAGAGGTTGAAGTTATCGCTATCTCATCACAACTGTAAGTTACAGAGATCACACTATCAATGCTTCAATTGGAGACACAGAATATATATTACACACACACACACACACACACACACACACTGACAGTAGGCAGGTGAAATCACCTGGTTGCATCCTGGATGGACGATACATTTGTCCAAGGTTCAGATTCTATGGGGATTTGTTCCACTAGAGCAGTGTTTCTGAATTCCAGTCCTCATGGACCCCCAACATGTCATGTTTTCAGGATTTCTATTATTTTGCACAGGTGATTTGATCAGTTTCACTGCCTTAGTAATTACCACAGCTGTTTCATCTGAGGGAAATCCTGAAAACATGACCTGTGGGGGTCCATGAGGACTGGAGTTGAGAAACACTGCACTAGAGGGAAGTGCTGAGTCCTTCAGCACTGAGTTAATGAGCCCAGATGAAGGTAGTGGGCTCATTAAGGCTGTTATAAAACTTTCCAGCTTCCTTAGGAAGTTGCTCCAACCTGGAACCAGATTTGTGCCTGAACTGACTCGGGAGCAACATCCTATCTGTGTGCAGGGAGACAAAAGCCTGTGTGGCTAGCCTTCAACTACCAGCAACTAGGTATAGCATCAGGCTTACCTAGTGGATAGCTAGGGAAGCTATTTGTACAGTAAGTAGCCAAGTTGGCCAGGATTTGATTTGATGTTTCTTTTAGGTTTGATGTTTTTCTGTAAATATTGTAAATAAACTGCACCTTTTTTTGTTTTTCACCTCCACTGTTGTGCTGTGCCTGTGTTTTTGTGTTGTGCACCCATCCAGGGGGTCACACACTCCCGCTGCCGGGCGAACCTCATTACATATGGTGGAGGACCACAGGCAGTTCGTGGTAACTAA